CCCAAGGGCTATTATGTGGGGGTACCCTTAGGTCCTCAAGGGCTATCCTATGGGGTACCAATAGATCCTTAGGGGCTATAATACGGGGGTACCCATAGGTCTCCAAGGCTTATTATAGGGGGGTAGCTATGGATCTCCAAGGGCTATTATGTGGTGGTACGTATAGGTCCTCAAGGGCTATCCTATGGCGGTACCCATAGGTCCTCAGGGGCTATCCTATGGAGGTATCCATAGGTCCTCATGGGCTATCCTATGGGGGTACCCATAGGTCCCCAAGGGCTATTATACTGTGATACGCATAGGTCCTGAAGGGAGTAATGTAACAGGGAGATAAGGCTACAAGGAATATAAGGCGATAAGGCCGAAGGCTGCATGGACTATAAAAATATGTGTGATCTGAGAGTATGAGGTCGTAGGGAAACCTATTTATATACATAATATCGAGTGTCTGTATGTATTTTACCGGATGAAAAGTTAAATGTCTGAGGTCATACATTAATGGAGAAAACAGCCGTGCAATATGCACTGGTTCTCGCTAGTTTGATATAAGAACCAGTTGTAAATATTTTGAGAAATCATAAAATAACTTTTTTGTTATTGTTATACAATAATAACAATAACAATAACAAAAATAGTTATTTTACGATTTCTGAAAATATTTACAACTGATTCTTATATCAAATGGTAATAAAGATACTGTATGAATAAAGTGATTTTTTGACGTACGCACAAACTATGCTTACACTTGTTTCATTAATGTTTTTGAATCAAAAAGTGAATGTTATTGTTATGATAACAAAAAAAAATAACAATAACTTTCTCACCCCTAGACTTAGCTTGCTGAAAATACAGTTTAGATGAGTTCTTTATAGCTTCAATCTTATTATCATTTGCTAACAATAACTGAATAAGTTTATTTAGCTGTGTACGAATCTCTAGTGTTTAACGCGATAGAAATCTGTACGGAGAAAAATCAAACCAGTACGTCATTATTATAACACAACAACAAAATTGAATAATGAAGAACTCATTTAAACTATTTTTATGAATTAGGACTATTTTTTCTATTAATTCATTCCGTTCAGAAAACAAAATAGCTAGTAGCACGTGAAATTGTACGTTAAAAAAACTCGAGCTTCAAGAATTCAATTTAACCAGCGTACATTCGCTGAAAGTAACATACACAAAAGAATGTTTTATAAGTTTCCGACTCATGTTGAATTTTTTCCTATTTCTCAAACATTCCAGTCTGGGCAGACATTGGAGACATATATCAAACGCTAACGTCTAAGCTATCATCCAAATGTTATTCATTCGATTAGTATCATCAGTAAGGAGATGCGTTATCGGACAAAACATGTTAAGCATTAGAATAGTTTTAGTTAATGTATTTTGGATGATAAATCATATATTGCTCTTTAAATATAATATCTACAATGTCTTCTAACATAGAACATTAGAAACTTACAAAAATTTATAAAATATCGCTTATATAATAAAAATTTATCAATGATACATAACTAATTCTATTTTCTTCTTCCTTATCTCTGATGACATGAACAGACAATCTAAAAAAGATAATTTCTCTAGTTCTAGACAACTGCAAGAAAGACAGAAGGCTAAGATTTGTGATAATGTTTGATCACTGCAAATGTAACAAGTTTGCTTATATCAGACTCAATAATTCCAATGAAGGCACCGGTTATTTAAAGGTAAACCTTTACGCAAATATTCCCTGAGCGTATCGATCTATCAATCTTACCAGCACTTGACTGATTATATACGAATGAAAAATGTAGTAAGTTTCAGAAAACTCTGCCATACTATAAACTGAATAATAATGAAAAAAAAATACGAAGAAAGCAAAAAATGATATTATTATGGAAAGAAGAAGATGAAGGAGATACTTAACAGAAATAATACAGGAATGGACAAATAAATTTAATAAGATTTAAAGAGAAAAAACGAAAAATATACACTTTAACGTATTTCAGGAACGATCGAATCATTGTAATCACCTTTTCTGAATGGAAACTTACAGTATATGATCAACAAAAGTCAGGCACGTAAAACTATTCAGATATAAAAGATACAGTCCGTAGGAAATTCTTTTTCTTGAATATATTGTAAAACTCCTCTATGACTTATCACAAGACAGTTATTGTATCACATATGATTGATTGGAAATATCGACTTATGCGAAATATACGAAGTCA